TCAGGAAGGCAGTCAGACAAATCATGAGTGGGAAAGCATTAGGACCTGAAAATATACCAGTTGAAGCACTGAATTCAGATACAGAAGTAATTGCAAACACTCCATGTTCTAGTCAGAAAGATTCGGGAGGAAGAACAGTGCTGGCAGACTGGGAAGAAGAAAGTTTCATCAAGATACAAAAAAGAGATCCGGGCATGTGTGGGAACTTGCCACAGAAGCAGCACACTACTATCGGTGCCTGGGAAACCTTTCAACAGAATGTTATTGAACCGGATGAAGGATTCAGTAGACGTCCAACTTCCGCAGTAACAAGCCGATTCCCTAGGATCGGTCGTTTGCAGCCTAAGTCGTGACACTACGGATTATTGTTGGGCAATTGACTGAATGAAATTCGACACTATACAGCGATTTCCTTGACTACGAGGCGTTTCAGTACTCTCAATAAAAGTGATTAACTTGGGTATACTCCTTTTTACTAATAAGTGGTATAAATGCTTCAAGTTAAAATTAGTTAAGGACAAAACATGAAATAAATGGATTTATACTATTCTACTATCTTTACTTCAACGTATCAGGAGATTCTAAGCCCCAAGTAGCATCATCATAAGGAATGGATCTCTATTGACACCCTGGGAAAGATTCAAAAAGGAAACAACAAGAAGACATCAATTAACAACAGCCGAACACGAGCAGAAAAAGGCAAGACACAAGCTGAATACATAGAAGCTAACAAGCAAGTAAACAAGAGCATTAGAGCTAACAAGAAGAATTAAGTAGAAGACCTGGCAACGACAGCGGTCAACGCAGCAAGAGAAGGAATTACGAGACAACTATTCGGTATAACGAAGAAACTGACAAGGAAATATAGTAAACCAGAGAGACTGATTAAGAACAAAGAAGGCAAGCCAATCACTGAGATTCAAGAAGAGAGAAACATATGGGGTAAACAACTTGAGGAACTCTTGAATAGGCCATCTCCACTAAACCCACCGGGCATCAAAGCAGCACACACAGACATACCTATAGATCTCACTCCACCAAAGACCGAAGACGTCAGGAAGGCAGTCAGACAAATCATGAGTGGGAAAGCATTAGGACCTGAAAATATACCAGTTGAAGCACTGAATTCAGATACAGAAGTAATTGCAAACACTCCATGTTCTAGTCAGAAAGATTCGGGAGGAAGAACAGTGCTGGCAGACTGGGAAGAAGAAAGTTTCATCAAGATACAAAAAAGAGATCCGGGCATGTGTGGGAACTTGCCACAGAAGCAGCACACTACTATCGGTGCCTGGGAAACCTTTCAACAGAATGTTATTGAACCGGATGAAGGATTCAGTAGACGTCCAACTTCCGCAGTAACAAGCCGATTCCCTAGGATCGGTCGTTTGCAGCCTAAGTCGTGACACTACGGATTATTGTTGGGCAATTGACTGAATGAAATTCGACACTATACAGCGATTTCCTTGACTACGAGGCGTTTCATGCTGTGAATAGGAGAATCTTTCTGAACCTCAGTCGACACTGTGGTGTAACCAAGGAGATCTTCAATATGATACGGAATTCATACGATAGACTACAGTGCAAAGTCGTGAATGGAGGACAGCTAACAGACACATTCCAAGTGAAAACCGGAGTCAGACAAGGCTGCTTTCTTTTTCTCTTCATCTTCTGATGGATGACTGGATCTGAAGACCTCCATATCTCAAGGAAAGCACGGAATACATGGAACAGTTTAGATACAACTAGACAATTTGGATTTCGTAGATAACCTAGCTCTTTTATCCCATAAACATCAACGAATAAAGGTCAAGATAAACAGTGTAACAGTAGCCTCTGCATCAGTAGACCTCAACATACACAAATGAAAATGCAAGATCCTCAAATACCAACACAATCACACTTGATGGCGAAACTCTGCAAGAGATGGAAAGTTTCACATACCTGGGCAGTATCACCGACAAACAAGAAGGATCTGATGCAAATTTAAAGACATGGATTGTCATAGTAAGGGCAGCATTCCTACAGTTGAAGAACATACTGAACCCAAAACAACTGTCAACTGATATCTAAGTCAGAATCTTCAATACGAACGTAAAACAGTTCTACTTATTGGAACTGAAACTTGGAAAACTATTACAACCACCATCAAAAATGTACAAGTATTCGTAAACAAATATTTACTTAAGATACTCAATATCTCTTGATAGGATACCATCATCAACAACCTACTGTAGAGGAAAACAAACTAGTTTCCAGCTAAAGTCAAATTAGGAAAAGGTGCTGGAAGTGGATAGAACATACACTACAGAAATCACCAAACCGTATCACGAGGCAAGCGCTTACCTGAAATTTTGTAGGTAAGTGTAAAAGTGGGACACCAAAAAGAACACTGCGTCGAGAATTGAAAGAAGACATGAAAATGATGAATAGCAACTGGGAAGAACTGGAAAAGATTGGATGGAGAATGTTGGTGATCGGCGTAGGTAAGTAACTAAATAATGTTTAATAGTTCTATTTACATGTAAGAAATCAGTAAAAAGTTAAATTCCCCTAAGCTAGCAGTATAAGAAAATTTTTCATTGTTGGTTTTCCAATCGTTTAAAATTCGGAATTTTCACCGCCTATATTTGTTGGGATTGTAATCTTACATATGCTTTGTTTTCTTTTAAATTTTGGTCTCCTTTCAAAATTACCAAAATAATTTGGAGTTAGGAAGTGATATAATGATTCATCGTTGAATGTAAGCGAAACTAATATTATTCAATCTAATAAGCAACAGAAGATTTCATTCATTTAATAATTCACATCAAACGACAAGAATAAATTACTTTATAGTCAATCAAACAAACAAAAGTGATCAAGTTGATCAGCTTAAACTTTCTAAATTTCATCCTGATCAAATAATTACATTTAGCAAAATGTATTTTATTGACTATACTGCATCAATAAAGTCTATTTTTATTTTACATTACTTCTTAATGGACTTACAACAAATGTATTCATCTATTAGTTGGTGACATGAATTAATACAATAAATGATAGAAATTTTACTTCATGTTGTCTTTGTTGAAATACAAAGAATAGAGATGAATTTTTCATTGTGTCAAGTGAATAAATCTCCTTATTTCTTCAGTCATAAAAAATAGTTTTCGAACCCCACTGGCCGGGATCGTAGATGAGTACTGCTGAAGAGTCTCACAATAGGACAAAACGGTCGTCTAGTGCTTCCAGGTTTTCTATGGTGGTCTAGCTTCAGTTGACTTATAATCTCAACTACTAAAAGTATTATAATGAATTAAGTCAAATAATATGGATTTTTAAACTAAATAGTTGAATAGATAACTTTAACAGTTATATTTAACCGTTAATGAATTTTAACTTCTATTAAATTATTATAGGAAATGTTTTATTAACGTATAATATTGTTTCTTTAAAATAAACCCCAAAAGATAGAAGGTATCAACCAAGTTCATACCGAAGATTATGCTTAAATAAAGAAACTTAAACAAGTTTTATCGAAACACTGAGTAGTATTGGTCAATTTATCTCAAAATTTAGTAAGAAAAATATGTAAATATATATGGGTTATTTAATAGTTGAATTTATGAGTCAATTAAAGCTAGACCATCATGGAAAACCTCGATTAAGCTGGACTAATTTTTTTAAAAATAAATTAACTAAACTCTTGAATTAGTTGCTAATTAATAGTTTGAATACTGGTTATGTAAATCAGATTTGGAAAGGGTATAGCAACTATCCTAGAACCAATTTCGATTATGGTTAATTTTGGTTAAGCTCTTTTATTAAGTTACCTAGTTGACAATGTTATTCGAACAGTAACATTTCGCATATGTCTTTGTACTATTGTGATCACTATCTTGTTGGTATAATTGTGTATTCTTGACCACATGGTAGACTTGAGCTAAAATGTTGATGCTTAAATATAACTCGATGATTCATTCTCCTCCCCATGTATATATGTACTCAAATCCTATCATTAGATTTTGCTTTTCTTTGCTGTGCCCTTATGCGATTTTACCATAAATTGGTCTATGTAATTGTTCACATATACATATTTGCCTCTCTCCTTCAAATTCGCGTGCAGTGCTTATAGCTTTGTGATTTGTGCTTTTCTTCGCCTTCTGACTTGAAACACCGTTGAAATGTGTATAATAACGGTTACAAGGGTGATTGATTAACGAAGCAAAGCCACTACAATTGAACCAGCTGAGTGATATTATCCATTTGTCAAACGATAATGTCAATTAATTACCTGTATTCATAAGTAATATTAAATGATACGACAGGCAGTAAGTTAACCTGACAATTCAGTTTCAACTTTGTTGACTGTTAAACGATCTGTAAGATCAATATCCTATGATCACCATTTATATTTTAAATAAATTTTATTCTTGGTTATTCAATATTCAGTTTTTTTTTTTCGAAAATTGTATTATTTTTCTACACAAAACGGCTTTTTCATTACTAGTCAGTTCATTATTTTCATATCCATTTATTGAAGATTTCAAGTCAATAATTCCTGTTCTATGAACATTTGTCATTCGGCTAAACTACATCCTGTTAACTTATTTAAATGATTACATAATCTCGAAATTAATGTTTAACACATACATTCTGTTATAATACAGAATGAAACAAACTAATATTACCTCATAGATCAAACCTTATCAGAATGATTAAATTATTAATCTTTATAAGATTATTATGATTATTATTCCCATGATATGCAATTTTGATTTATTTTTTATTATTTTATAATCTTTTAACTCAAATTAATAATGTCATATCACTATGAGCCAATCAAACTAATCGGAATTTCAAAATTCAACTCAAACTTATCTACCAATCATAATTTTACGAGTGAAGAATGAACATTTCAAGTTTTTTTTGCCCCTATCTATCTATCTACCTTTAAATCTATGGTATATAATGGTATTAAGTATTACTTATTATTCATAAATACCCCACTTACATAAATTACATTGTTACCGATTAATATCTAATTTTGAAATATCATTTGTAAAATAAAGATTAATTAATATGGGTTTTTATCAGAGAATGAATCATTCTGTATGCTATTTTCTTATTCTTAGTTTATATATAACTTATCATTATTGTTATACAATTGAAATGAATCCATATGGAAATTTTATGTATCCTTCATTATCAACCTCATCATCGTCTGTCTCATCATCATCATCATCCGCAGCAGCAGAAGCAGAAGCAGAATCGCCAAAACTGTTAGTATCTTTATCAAAATCACTGCCTACATCTCAATCATCAATTGATAAATATCTTACATTAAATAATGAATTTAATAAAGATCAATTCAATCCATATTCTAATTATCGTTCTAATTATTATTATGATTATTATTATAATCGTCATCATTACCATCATCATCCACGAATGTCTAAACGTGCTGATTTAAAAGATTTATCAATTCATAGTGATATGGCATTTATACGTAAATTATTCGATCAAAAGAATCACGAATTATTAAGACTTGGATAAGTTTTCAAAAAAAAACATAAAAATTTTAATAATTATTATTACTATTATTGACTTGATTCTTGTTTTACTGAACTAACAATTAAAAGATCTATAATTCTGTAATATTATGATTAATGATGTATTTATTAGAAATTTTAACCAATAAATATGCTAATAGAATTTAAAATAAAACTGGCGGGAATTTTTTAGGTATCATTATTAAGGTTTTGGTTATTTATTCTCTGAAGAAATGACTTACACTAAGTGACGAAACGTCAGAAAATCTAATTTTTCTACTCACTAAGATATTACAAATATACTAATTTATTTATAGCTTGGATTTTTTTAGAAATTACCATTTATTTAATCTATTCTTTATATTTTAACAAGAAATAATAAGTAGTATAGTAGCCAATAGTAAAAAAAGAAATATTCAAATCGAGTTTGCTTGTTTTATGAGATGTGAATATTTTTTTGGATTTTGAAATTCTGTACTGTTTAAATGTCTTAGACTAGTAAAAGAACTATTAACTACCTCTATTATTATTAATATTGAATTTTCGTAAATAATAGACTGTGAATAATAAGGTTAGATTTATGGGGATATTGAGTGTAGTGCACACAGATAGATTGGATGAAGAACATAGATATAATCAAAATTAGGATCGAAAAATGAAAAAATCCCCCTAAGCATCAATTACTCAATTAAAAAGTGATCAAATTGCTAGGTACGATACGTACCAAACATGAAAATAACGTGATTTATTATATATTAACGACTAATTATTACATACACAAAGAATTCTTTTAAATTGTAGAAAGTGGATATCACTTTGAAAGTTGAATAGGTAATTGATAAAGAGGAAATTTGTTACACTGCCGATAATAATTTTTTGTTCATTTTTCTGCTATTTACTTTAATTAAGATTGTAGTGGATTATCATCATGATAATTTTTTAGGCTTCGTATGTTAATCGTCCTAACAATCGTTATTAAACCAGTTGGCACGGTGTATAAATTTCAGAAGACAATACAAAGCGTCGACTAGTTTATTATTAAACAGAATAGGTCACTAAGTCACGAGCACCAGAAGCGGATTCTAATCGAAATTCTTATAAGATCGAACAAATACAGAGGCGAATTAAGAGACGAACGAATTATTAAAACTCAAGTCCATATGTATGGGAAAGCGAAAATTCATCGAACCGTTTAAGCAACTAATATTTGAACTAGTAAGAGGAATATGTTTGTAGACTGTAATACGTGATCAACCATACAAACACGACACTAATAATAGTACAATGATATACAAATTTTTACTATCTAACGTTGCTTGCTAAATAAGTTAATTGAAAGGCTTGAGAGGATTAAACGTAAACAAATTAAGTGTAGGTGAGATGCTATAATACTATGTACTACATAGTAAAAAGCTTCAATAACATATCGAAGCAAGATTCTTTTTGTATGTAAGTGTGAATATTATTATTAAATCGTAGCAAGAAATAAAGTTTCAACTTGTTATCCATTATTGATATAATCATAATTATTACTAAGTTACGTATTGCACTTAACATTTTGCTTAGTAAACAAATTTGAACAGTTCAATGAAATGATAATTTGATCTCTATGTTGATAAAATCATATCGTCTTAATTATATCAGTGAATATTTGTTTGAAACGAACATAAAAATCATAACAATTTAGCACATCATGTTATAAGTAAACAGAAACAATATATAACCTTAATTATTTCAGTATTTACCAATAATTATCAACAAAATGAACTCAATGATAATCCAAATGCAAAATTCCATTTTAAGTTCTAATGACTTTGTAGATTAACACAGTTATTAAAATGGATTTAGACCACTTAAGTACAATATCTTTCATTGCTACAAAGCAAAAGGTGGAAATTAAACTTAAATCTAACTTTTTACAGAGACCAAAATGGTTGTAATTCTGACAAATCTTATTATTTAGTAGTTTAATTCACGAGTCAATTGAATCTAGACAACCATGAGAAACCTGGAAGCACTGGATGGCTGTTTCGTCGTAGTATAGGACTCCTCAGCAGTGCGCATCCATGATCTCGCATGTCTAGCTTCAATCGACTCATGAATCCGACTACTAAATTACTATAATATTTACAAAACCCTTCTCTGATTGAAATCTTATTATCTCAAGTCTCCAAAATTCGACCAATTATTTTCTATGACTTGAATGATTAATCAGGAATTACATAATGGTTATTTAATCAGATTGCATTTCTACAACTCAAATGAATTAGGATTAGTAAGGGAATAGTCACTTTCCAATTAATAATTCTTTTAACTTATCAGAGTTTTGTATCAATTTAATATTAACTTTTTTTAATCATCTTACTTTAAGATAAAGTTTCCATATCAATTTTTATCACAAACTTATTCATCGTTCCGACTATTAACTCAGTTCAATGCCAATTTTAAAATAACGTTTACTTAATTTTTCATGTTGCATAAACACAATTGAAGAATCTTATTATCAGTATGACTTTCATAGAATCAGCATTGACTGGATACATATAAACATTTATTCTCCTCAAGATGTACTGTGTAAATGGTATGATTAATAAACTATTTATTTCAATGACCATCACAGAAAACCTGGAAGCATGGGAAGGCCCTTTCGTTCTAGTATGGGACTTCTCAGCAGTACGCATTCATGATTCAACCTCGCGAGATTCAAATCCAGGACCTATCAGTTTCGCGCAAGAGTGCTTAACCACTAGATCACTGGGCCGTCAACCAATGGTGTTAATGTCCAACTTCAATCAATCCACAAAATTGAGTCACCTTCCACAATTGTCTTCAGTGAGTTATTATCTCACAACAGATCCGGTCAAACTCCACTGATCACTGCTTCTCACTAGAACTCCAGGAAATACATCTTGGAGACCGTCACTAGTGAGTATATAATGATTATAATCAGCGAGGAGTTTTGTTGATATTATGGTAACTTAATAGTTGAATTCATGAATCAATTGAAGCTATAACACCATGAATTCAACCATTAAATTACAATAATATCCAAAATATGTATTAACAGTGAAAAAGAGTCAGTATTTACAATTTGTTATTGATTCACTGATCATGAAAAAACGATCATATTATAATCATAAGTAAGACTAATGACCTAGACAAATTTATTTTATTTATTAATAATGAGATTATATTCATATAAACAATTAAAATATGCTTTAAAATTTTTTTAAATTTTTTAATAAAACTGATTAAAAGAATTTGGTAAAGTACTCGATATTCATTTGAATAAACTATTAAATGAGAAACAAACAAACAAACAATGTATTCAGTAAACGAGTTCTTTTAGATGAACTCATTCTCGAAGCTATACAAACGTATTTAGATGTGATAAATTAAAGGTCAATGAATAACTATGTGTCTATTAAAATGTGATTAGTTGTTATGTGAAATCTGACAACAATATTTTAAATAAATAAATAAATAGTTGAAGTTAAACATTAATAGCGTTGAATGCCGACTCAGTTGTCTAGAGGTTAAGCGTCCACGCGCGAGACTGATAGGTCCTGGATTCGAATCCTGCAGACAGGATAGTGGATGTGCACTGTTGAGGGATACCATACTAGGATGAAACAGTTGTTCAGTGCTTCCAGGTTTTCCATTGTGGTCTAGTTTTAATTAACTTATGAATTCAACTATTAAAATTGATAGTTGGTCTGTCGTTAATGGTCTCCTACTTAATCCGTCTAAATGTCAAGCTGTTAACTTTAGCATGAGACATGATCGGCATTTAAACACCTTTTTGAGTTCTCATAATGCTTGTGCCATTGGCGACTCTTTGATAAACACAGTGTCGACGGTCAATTATCTTGGTGTTACCTTTTCCTCTGATCTCTCTTGGTCTTCTCACGTTTTATTGTTATCGAAGAAAGTTTTCCGTCTGACTTACTACATTAAGAGGTTGCATGCCTTTGGGATCACTCGTCATTTACTCCTACAATTTGTCAATTCTTGCATATTACCTATTATTCTGTACTTTTCTCCGTTATTCTTTCCCGGGCTTTTGAGAAAAGACTTTGCTGTACTGCGGAGAGCGCTGAAGGCAGTTAGCAAGTTATGTGGTGAATCTTTCGAGACCATAATTAATATGATTGTGGACAGACATCTAAATCGTGCAAACTCCTGGCAGATGTTATTTTATCAGATACTAACCATCCCCTTCACTCATATCTTTCTCCTTGTATATCTTCTGGTAGAACGAGACGAAATTACATTAAAATCCAAGCACGCAAGCAAAAGTATAAACGTTCTATAATACCTTACCTAGCAAATGTACTCTGTGACGAACAGGTTGTTAGAGTTAACCTAGTCAATAATCTGCATTCTTAACATGACTCTAATTGAAAAGTTGTACAGTTTTTTTTTCAGATTTTTTTTAACCGTTTTTTTTCTTTTGTTCTGTAAAAGAAACTTGTTGAAATATTTTTGTGCTGAGAATTCTATATTGTACCAAAATATAATATTGAATAAAGCCATAAATAAATAAATAAAATAAAAATAAATACAATCTTCGCAAATCCTCATTCTGATCATAATCATCATGTACTGACTGGTGACTGACCCCAAGATGATTTCCCGGAGTTCTAGTGAGAAGGTGTGATCAGTGGAGTTCAATCCGTGTCAGGTAATGACAGGTATCTACCTCGGACAATGGATGAATGTTTGCGCAGCCATCCATGGATCGATGGAATTTAGACATTAACATCATTGGATGCCGGCTCAATGATCTAGAAGTTAAGCGTTTGCACGCGAGACTGAAGGTACTGGGTTAGAATCTCACGTGTTGGATAGTGAATACACATTACTTAGGAGTTCTATACTAGGACGAAACGTCCGTATAGTGCTTCCAAGTTTTAAATGGTGGTCTAGCTTACATTAACTCATGAATTCAACTATTAAAATTACTACAATCTCCACAAACCCTGTTTTGATCATAAGTCATTTTTGACGACCTTATTATTTTAGACAATATTACAGAGTATAAAATTTTATCTTCCGTTTTAATAAAAGTTTCAAGGGTAATCAAAATTAAATGCAGAATAATGAATTAGATCATGCAAAACCAATTATATTTTAATATTGTGGTAG